CCAGTCCCAGGAAGCTTCCAGTAGGCCCCGGTAGCCTGAGGCCCAGCACGACGAGAGCAGGCCTTGGGCCTGTAGTGGTTGCATGTGCCCAACTGCCTTCGGCCTGTGTTTGGCCCGGTACCCGTATCCAGCCCAGGGCCTGTCTCACATACATTCACACAGGCGGCCCAGGGCCTGGGTTCACTCAACCAACTGGCGCTGCGCAACTGCCTGAATTTCCCTGAGTTGCGTGGTGGCCAGAAAGAGCCCTCAGGGCCTCGTCGAGCCTGCCTTCACTTAGGGCGGCCGACGGGCTGCAAAATGGGGCCGTATGGGGCTCATAGAGGCACTGGCCTCACATTCCCTCCTCCTTAGCTTCAACAGTCCTCTGAGAAGCTCAATCTTCGATCATAGGTCGCTTTCCCTTCTGCAGAGATCTCTCGTATTGGGTTACAACTTGAGGAGCAGTCTGCATGAGCTCTTCCCTGGTGAACCAGCGGTCCTCCTTTGGATCAGTGTGGTGCCGGAACCGAACGCGGTTACTGCAGCTTCCGTTTCGGAGGGCGTCCCCTGCCTGCGGGTCTTGATACCGGCAGCTCTCTGTGATCCACAATATCATCGATGTCCACCTCTCCATCCATGGTTGGGGGCAGCATTGAGCGACGAGATGGAAACTGGTCAGTATCTTTGAAAGGTGCCAGCTTGGAGGCGTGAAAGACAGGGTAAGTACGGAGATGACCAGGGATCCGGATAACATAAGATGGCCCGTCCGGATCTGTCCCAACGATATCCAAGACTTCCCAGGGTCCAAAGTACTGTGGCATGAGCTTGCGGGAGATCCCGTGCTCCTGTCCCAGTTCTGAGGACTTAACCCAGACTCTGTCCCCAACCTGAAAGTGCAATCAGACTCGTTTTCAAACACACTTTTCACACATGTAAACAGTAACGCAGCACACTGGCGACATGCGCCCACTCAAAACTCAGAGATATGGTTTTCAGATACGAGTTCACTCCAAATTGGCTATGGCCACCTCAGCGCACAAACATCTCACTGTTCACATACACTGGATCACCCTGGATATCCCACATGCATTACTCTAACACTCGAGCACACACACACACTCACTACTAACTATAGCTATGGCAGCTATGGCTGCCTCTAACCTATCGCTATGCTAACTCCTCCTCTCTTGCCCACTGCGTCCTCCGGGCTCATCTGCAGACCTCC